CGAGCTTACATGATAGGGCAATAATTATTTTTAGAATAAATGGTGTGAGAAGAAGGCACACAGGAATGATTATGAACGTGATAAAATACCATCTTACTAACCTGTTCTCTTCACCCTCCAGTAATTTTCTATAACATGATATTTCTAATTCTAATGATAGTTTGGCATCCATAATCAGTCTTAGTTCTTCAACACACGCCTCTAGTTCAGCCTGGAGTCGAGATTTACTGGCCATGTGTTCAGATTTTTCAGATTCTAATTCTGTTTCAAGACCCTGAATCATGTTTCTCAACTGAGACATTTCCGCTTGTAAAGCACCATTCTAGAAATATATAGAAATATGGAATAATATTGAATGATATTATGAGGGTATTATATTGTTTAACTGTATCTTTTGTAATATCGAATGATTGTTCTGATCAGGTGAAACCATCATTCTATGGTACGTTTATGTTAGTATGATCCCTGAATTTCTGACATTTGAAGATGTTAAAGATTAAGAAATCCAGACGATCAGTCCACCTTATGATGTATTATAATATTCTTACCTTGGCTTCCATTTCAGCTACTTTAGATGACGAACCTTGTAACTGAGATTGAAGTTTTTTGGAGACTTCTTTAGCCTGTTTATTCTCCATATTATCTCTGACTGCACCAGATTGAACCTGTCTCATCTGAATTATAATATAATGTTTAATGTGTATTGTTGTTGTATTGAGCAGTACCTATCATCATCAACACGATCGTAATCAAAGTCTTGGAACTGTTGGTTTGAAGAAGAAAATAGACGACACCACAATGAAAGTGGGGCATGGTTTCCATATTGCCTTCCGAATGTGTGGAGTTATTACAGTAAATTTAGAAAAATATCACCAAGCAGAAATTGGTAACTTCGACTAAACGACTAAGGAACATTCAGGAACTTCGACTACTTAGCTATGAAGATTATCCCTTGAATGCCCCCCCCCCCCCCCACCCCATATCTTAATTCACGACCTACCTGTGCTGCAAATCTGGTTTCACAATCTTGCCTCATCAGATCTAATTTAGTGTCATATTCATTCTGTATATCTCTGATAGCTTTAGAAAGGTTATTTTGCCAGAATTCCTGTACATCCAGACCTTTGATTTTGATGGCTTGTTTCGGCTCTGATGGCATCTGAAATATGCAATCAAATATATGAAATAATAATGTGACGGACTTATGATAGATTTAAAAGCTTTTATTGTGTTGTTTTCCTTTAAAATTTTTTATTTGCGAATGAGTTAGTATATTAAGTATTATCCTTAGTATGGAATAGAGTAATCCGGTTTTAAGGGGACCCGTTGCAGTCAATGGATTCCTACCATTGCATACTTCATGATTTTCTTCGCTCTGAATCACCATGGAAGAAATATTTGTGTACTTTGGACACCCAGCCGCGGAAGGCACGATGAGAAGTAGTGTAACCTCCGTCAGCACTGACACCAACTTTGCAAAGCATAAATGACTTATAGATCAAACATACCTTATCGAGAAGAGCTCTTAAGAATTCTACTTCCTCCTCTAGAGTGGTAGCTCTACAATCAGCATCGATATGGGCAGCAGTTTCATTGTCTAAATCCTGAAACATATATTATTGTTATTACCTATACATATTCAAAATGTGGTAAACGTGTTTATCTAGTGTAGAAGGTATTCAGTGTTGTCAGCATTGATTTCCCTTGTAACTTTCGTGAAGATATGAGGGGCAGATTATCGTTCAGAAGTACTAAAATCCGATGATAAATGGTAAGGTGATTTGGTGTCGCTTTCTTGAGAAGAATTCCTCTTATTGCATATGTCATGATTTTAGGCGTCTTTTTTAACCAATTAAGATGCGGAAACGTAAGGCGTGTAACTCATTGCACTTCAATTATGAATCTATTTCGATTAAACACCAGAAATACTTACAGCTCGAAGTCTGGCATTCTCTTCTGTTCTCTGAGTGTTTATCTGTCGAAGTTTATCATTTTCATTTTCCAAATTTTGAATTCGGAGTCTAAGCGTTGCTAATTCTCCCTCGTATCCTCCTATTTCTGATGTTTGGGATTCAATTTGTTGTCTGTAGTCTGCATTGTGTCCTTCTAGAGTGGCTAATCTGAAAAGAGACATCTTATCAATCAAAAGGTTGTTTAAGATAAAAGAAGTTCATCTTGTAATTATACTAATAATAGATTACTGGTCTTTCTATCCGACATTATTCCTAGAAACTTATGTCAGCTGGTAGGAAGATGTCAGTACTATTTATTTTACTGTTTATCTTTGCTGAAAAATGGTGTATGGGGGGCTGAGAAAAAGATGACTTACTCCTGTTTTAAAGAATCCACAAGATCTTGGAAACCAGCAATTTTAGCATCACCTACACCTTTCTCTGCTGATAATTCATCTATAACTTTTCTGGCTTGTTCCAGTTCAGATTCATACATAGCTTTCACTGGTTTAAAATCTACTGCTTTCTGGTTCCTGTAAATCTCCAGCTCCTCTTCCAGTTGAGTATTCAAAGCTTCCAGGAACCGTACCTTCTCAATATAACTACCAAGTCGCTCATTGAGAGTCTGCAACTCTTTCTTTTCACTTTCTCTCTTTCCTTTCATATCAGTTACACCGTCTTGGGACAATTTAGCATATGTACCGGAAGCTAATGCAATGCCACCAAAACCCATGCCACCCATGCCAGATGATGAGGACCTGTTGAATCCATAGGATCCACTTGATGGTCGTCCTCGGTTGATGACGGTAGTTCGTTTCTTGATGAAAGAGTCGGTTCCATCTTGAGAGGAAGACAATGTTTTTCGATCCATGTTAAAGGTTGGTGGTGAACTAGAAGTATATAACCAGTTGAAATCTATTAAAAACCTTTGAAGACTGTTGTAGTAGTTGTAATGAATGGGTTTGTAATTTTTCTCTTATATAGATAGTTTTAGTCATTTCCGTTGTCAACACACAAACTTATATTATATTGTATCTAATAATGATTATTATGTAATTTATGTAATTCTGTCACTTATAGTGTGATTATAAATGAATTTGAAATGGACGTCTAATGAAGCGGTCGTTCTATATCCGATTATCCCCATTCTGGTGTTTAACTTCTTTTGTTCTTACTATCTATTTCTGGTTAATTCTTTATTGGTTAGTTAATAGACTAAGGTTTTGGAAAATTTAGAAACGACAGCATATACATTAGAAACATTATCGAGGCAGGACGACATTTGTTTTA